TCAAGGGTTTCCCGGTGTACAGCCCCATGCCGCAGGATTAGGCACGCGTTTATAATTGGTGCGCGTGCTGCGTTACGCGCTCTTTGAAGAATTTTGTTGGCGGTGTGTCTGTGCTTCCTCACATCTTATCCGGGTGCAGATGGGTATCCTGGAGCTACATTTATGCAAGGGCTCAGAATGTATGGATTTTAGTAGGAATTGCTTGTCTCTGACCGTGGAATTTGGGTTACAGACAGGAGAAATTGTTTTTCAGGCATCACTGCCCATCATGCAATAAGCCCTTTCAAAGCAACAGCAATATATATCTGTACTTAAGTATTTGTCTAGTATTTGATGTATCTGTAGCAAAAAGCTGCTAATTCCTGTGGTAAATATAGTTTCAGACTTGTAAAGGCCTCTTTTTTTAAAAAAAAAAATAATAATTCAGTTCATTATAGCACTTCGGTTTACCCTGTAGCATCAGGTGTTTTTATATCTCTCTCATTTCCTGATCTTGAATGCTATTTTTCAGAACCATTCAAACAGCTGATCTACATTTGAATTAGATAAGCTACTAAAGCCATATGTACTTGATCCTGTGGACTTTATAATAAACTATGCTAAGTTAAATCTGTCTTTCTCAGGAGACTTTTTCTAAATCTATACTACATTTTGCTTTTTGCCCTTTTTTCTATTCCTCAGTCTCTTAGAAGCGCAGTCCTTCCTAACACGTACAAAGCTTTGGATCATGTAATTCCAGTGGGAGTCGATGAAAATACACCATCTACAGAGAGGATTGCTTGAGTTTTGCCATGCAGCTCTGCACTTAGGCAAGACCTTGCAATGACAGCTCTCTGTCAAGGGTTGTCCTCAGAGCACAGTGCCAGACATAGCGTTGTTGTCGAGAAGTAGCAGTAATCAGTGCACAATATTCCTTTTGGACTCTGCCTGTGCCGCTCCTTAATCAGCTGCATGTGCTCAGAGGCTGTTTCTCCTCGTGCTGGATTCTCAGCTGGCCGAGGATTTCAATACTCTCAAATTGTGCGCTTTCTCCAGTACAGTAATGTCACCACGTTTGTAGTTACCTGCTTTTATCGACTCCCTGTTATTCTGCCCTCCATCAGTCAGCAGGCTCTAGGAGCCTGTGTGTTAGGAAGTGATGGAAATGAGATGAAGAGCTTCTTGGTCAGTGCATTCCAGTGGCATTGCAGCTCTGATCATCCTTGTTCCTCAGTGGCCACATCTAAAGAAGATAGAAATTAATCTTGTGGAAGTTCTCATATTTGACTTCTCCAAACGAATGAACGTTCTTTCTCCCTCACCAAAATTTATCTTGGAAAAAGGATTATTGCTGCTCTGACTCAGTGTGATCCTGCTAGGTGAATGGAATTATTGAAGCATAATCGTGATATTAATGGACATGTTGCATGCGCCACAGGACTCCATATTTCAGGAGTCCTTGTACCAAGGACTCCTCCTCTCCACCTTTCTGTTTCAGAAATGGGGAACGTTGCATATTTGGGGTTCATTCAAAAGTTCATGGAATTGAGAATGACTAATTTATTTTCTACATTTAGAATTGAAAATGTCTGAAGACATACCTGAAGACATACCTGATGACATCCCATCTGAGCAGCAACCTGAAGTCACAGACATGCCCAGCAGTGATGTATTGCCTCAAGAGCCCCTGCCACCCCTTGTGGAAGCTGGCATCTTGCCTGAGCCTTTGCAAGACAAAGGTGAACAGACCACTCAGTGTACCAGTAAGGGACAGGAAGGAGACACACTTTTTATCGAAAATCCTTTGACTGAAAAAATAAGTGAAAGTTTGCCTTCCAATGGAGAGGTGACTGAAAACACGCCTGTTGACTGCATTGAGACCGTAAGCCTTGATGCTGAACCTGAATCTGAGGGAACACCACATGAGCAAAGTGGACCTGTAAGTAAGATGCCCTTTTCTAGAAAAGCTGCCTTCCCTGCTTTATAAGGAGAATAGAATTTTGTAAAATGTACATATTTTTTGCATTGGTTACCTTGCTTGGACTACTCTGCACAAAGGCTTAATCATCCACCTGAGGAGTTGGTGGCAAAACTTTTGTCGCTAGTTATTTGGGGCTACCTCTCTGTATACATGAGCCCTGACTCTTCAGAATCGTTCTTCAGAAGGCATCATCATCAGTGAATCTATTTCTTTGTAAGCAGTCGCACAGGCTGCTAAGCTGGTATCATGGTTTATTACATGCTTGATTCTGTTGCCTGGCAGGTCCATTGTGTTTCCTGCTGCCTCCAGACAATATGCACTGTAGACAGTGGAGTAATATTTTTCTTCTTACAGGACATGAACTCCTCTAAGACAAGTAGGTGGGGAGCTTGGGGTACCTGGGGCAAGTCTCTCCTGTCATCAGCTTCTGCCACAGTGGGTAAGTAAGGTACTTGAAAATATTTAAGCCATCATTTTAATGCATCATTAAATACTCTTAAAGGCAACAGCTAAAGTCAAGTTGCTTGTTTTGATTAAGAAGATTTAAACATCATTTTGTTCTGGCAAGCCATGGTGTGCCATGACATTGATAATGGCAAGAAGGACCTTCCTGCATTGTCAGTGCACCTAAATATTTCTTTAGGTCAGATTACAGACAATGTAACAGGCTTGTCTGCAGAGCAAGTTACCTACCTCATAGTGGCTCCTTCACAGAAAGGATATGATCTGCTGCAACCACTATCAGCCAAAGGCTCAGGAATTTGGAAGTCAGAGCCCTCCATCCCAGATGAATGTATGTGTATGTTTATGGTTTATATACTAAGACTTCTTTCTATAAAATATAAACCCATTTCTTGTAAATCATTCAAGCTTTCACTGCCAGTCAATGGAGCTCTTAAACTATCATACTGGACTTTAGAGAGTAGAAAAACATATTGAAACAATTTAGCATTTTCACACGTCTATAATATGCTTAGCGTTGCTGATTATTTCATTTCCGATAATAAAGTTTCCATATAATTTCTGTCTTATCTCTCCTTAAACTAGCTTTGCACATACAACCAGGGATTGTCTTTTTTGTCTTCTAAACAAAACATCTTATATCCTTGAATTGACCTTGACCTTTTTCGGATCATTGGAGTCCATTTGTACAAAAATGTCCTGAAATTTTTGTCTGTGAAAAGCAGGTGTGATATCCTTCTGCACAAGATGTTCCATGCTACCTTTGGATTACTCAGTGTTTCCACCATGCTCAGTCTGACGCTAGGTGTCACACTAAGACAGTTATTGAATTTTTGTCGTTGATGAGTTTTATTTTGTTTTTAAAGGGTGCAAAAAGTTTGATTTTTTTCCACCCTGTGCAAGCACAGTGGAGTAGCTCCACTGAAATAGTTACTGGAATGATAAGATGGAAGAATTAGGCTCACTGTGTTTTGAAGACACAACTCTGTTGTTGCAGTTGTTACCATCATTTTACCCTCTTTCATTGAACTTGTATTCTTCAGTAAATCAGAAATTTTAAAAATCCATTCTTTCACTAGTAGATGTGATAAAATTCTACCCTGACACAGGGTTGCTATTACAGCTAAGCCAATTGAATGGTGAGCAGCCACTGAAATGAATAGTCGTGCTCTTCTCTTCCATGTTCCCTCTTCCGCTTATGTCCTCCTGAGCCTTTGGCATTCCAGTTCAGAAAGCTACCATAAAGAAGACTATCACTAAGGGGAAAATAAATGTTGACTTCCTGCCTGTTTAGTTCCTTGAGACAACTCCCTGTGGGAGGAGATAAGTGCCAGTGCCAGCAAATAGGTAACATGGGAGAAGCAGGACTTCTCTTACTAGTGCTAACGAGCCATTAGGTCACATTAGCTCTAGCATCAAACCTTTTACCCCAACGCGTAAGCCGGGCAAAATATATTCTGGGCTCATGTTTGAAGCTTGAGACTTCTGTTTAAAACAAAAACCAGTTTGTATACTTGAGAGCTTGCCTGATTTTCTTTTTTTTCCTCCAGGTGAGCTATCAGCTTCAGCTACCTTACTACCTCCCCTACAAGCCTTGCTTTTCAAATGCTGTAGTGTTTCATATGGATGAATTATATTGTTCAGACTTTTGTCTAAGTTACAGTGCTCAACAGGCTACATTTCCAAGCAGTCTATTCCTTACCATGGTGTATGCACATGCTTCACTCCTTGTATGTTTAGTTGTTTTTTTTGTTGTTGTTGTTGCTTTTTTGCTTTAAATTCAAATACCCTTTGCAGGATTATCATCTGTAAATACCCCTTATACAATAAAAATAAGAAAAAATAGAACCCAGCTATTTAAATCGGCTTTGAAATTCATACTGAAAAGCCGTTAAAGCATCTTTCATATGTTGCTCGTAAGTAATATTAGCTGTCTTGATTATTTTACACCTAATGTACATTCCTCGTGTATTTTTCATTCTGCATCTAGTAGAATGATGTACAGAAATGTCAGACACCATAAACCTCTACTATATGCTGCTTGTTTTCCTGTCACTCAGTATGACAGAATGAAATGCCACTTTTGATGCCTCTTTTTTCGTGAGGAGCAATGTATACATGGATATGTGCAATATTCAATATTATATAGCTTAAATTTAAGGCTATGTAAAATGAAAATGCTTGAGATAATATGAAATTAAAACATTGAAATGATGTGAAAATCCTCTTTATTCTCTATAGATATTATTCCACTGCTGTGAAATAAAGAAAGACAAAAAAAAACCAGCAGCTGGATTTTATGCTCATACCTTTCATAGCCATAAAAAGGACAGTTAATCCCTTCAGAACATATATCTTTCACTTGCATATATTACATCTGATTAAGGAAAACTATTTATGTGAGAAATCACATGGTAATCACTCAGCTATTTTGTAAATAACAAGTTACAGCTGCTGTAGAAATAGCCCCTTATTTTCCACAGGCTGTTCTTGTTTTAAAAAATATATTGAATGTAGGTAACCGACTGTCAGCTCTTGCAGACTGCAGTCCCATTTACTTCCATATAGCTTAGAAGAGGTTGAATACTGAAAATGCATTACAACAATCTCTATGCTTATTGCTATATTATTTCACCAGTTGCAACAAGGAGCTCTGAAACTGGTCTCATTTACCATCTTAAGTAGAATTATTCCTGAATCAGTCTGAATGGCCTAATTGCTATCAGAACTACTCTGTGGATTTTTTTGTTTGTTTGTTTTAAGTAAAAGGAAGACGCTTTTGCTATAGCACTAAAGTGAATGGAGACAACCAAGAAAAAAAAAAAGGAAAAAAAGCTTTACTTTCTTTACAATGTGAGCACTTGAAAAAACTTACCTTGTAGCTCTTTTATCTCTGCTGTTAAAGAGGAGCAGTGGATGAAGGTATTAAAGTCATTCCCAAGTTTACAATGTCAATTCAATTTTGTCACCACGCAGTGTAACAAAATCAGCATACTGTTATCTCTTAAAATGCAGACTCATCTCCCATCAAATGTTTTATTTCTGTCCTTTTTACAATAACAAATAATGATTTCCATTTTCAATGCAATGTGTAGTTCTGCAGTGTCCCTGCATTTGTATTATTTAAGAGTGCTGACCTGTTTCAGTTGTGGTGTTCTGATCTCTTGCTTGTGTTGTTGTAGGCAAAGACGCTTGCCATATAGTTTAGTTCAGCAAAACTTTGTTCCTATCTACCCTGAAATGTTTCCTTACCATTCTGGTGCCTATAACCACAGCCCTAAAAATGCTGCCTCTCATAATTTTGTAAATACAATGCAGCAACTATGCGAATGCACATTTTCAGAGATAAAAGCTTATCTGCAAACCTATGAGAATCACATTCCCAAGTGTACTGAGCTTCTGAAAGTCCATCAGTTTTTATGAATTGTTCATAGGATTAGTTACATTTTTATGTAATTATAGGACAGTATTTTTTTTTTATGAAGTCAAAGTTCAAAAGGCAGGATGAAGTTAATTGTTCTAAACTTCTGAAAAGTGTATGAGGCCAAACCCTATGGAATTAGAAGGACCATTAATTTCTATTTAAACTAATGGGAATAGAATATATTCGACATCCTGAAAAGCAGGAAGCTAGACTTACTTGTACCACTGAAACAAGATTTAGAGTATTTCAGATCTGCTGCCATATATGTTACATTTTAGCTTTATAATTTTTAGTCAATATATTGAATGTAATAGTACAAAATAACAAAATAAAAATAAGTGAGGTAGGTTTAATGCTAATTCTGGTTTTCAGCTATTTTTAAGAGATCATATGTACAGCATAGAATGTACTGCTAAAAGTATATAGCTGAAATCATGTAATCCAAAATATGTTTCTGCTGCAGGTCATGGGATAACAGCAGTAAAGGAAAAAGCAGGGTCTACTCTAAGAATTCATAATACAAGTTCAGCATCTTCAGAAGCAACAGATCCTTCCGAAGCTGAAACATCAATTATACGTAAGTTCAAGTTCACTGAAATTGGACAAAGCCCTTTGCCACTGCCAAATTTATACAACTTACAAAATCCTAATTTTTTGATCAGTGTACTGTAATTTGTGACTTATAGATGTGAAAGTTTACTGTAGCTTGCTCTGTCTTGTCAGAAGCAGAAGCTTCTCCAGACCAAAGCACTTTGGCAGATATTCCCTCTTCTCCTTCCTCTGGATCTCGTGGGATGTTGTCAGCAATCAGCAGTGTTGTGCAAAACACAGTGAGTCGTTTCAGCAGGGCTCTCTTCTCTAGTTCTTCTTTGGTTTAAGGTCCAAATTCATTTTAGCTCTGTTGGGTTGTGGGTCTTTGTAAGAGCAGTTCTGTGGTAGGCCTTACTAAAGTATCTTTCCCATGCCAAAATAACTGGATCAGATTTTAAAAAGTCAAATACAAGTAAGGAATTACGGATTTTAAATGAACATTTGAAGGCAGTTTTAGTGAAAAGATACAGTTGTGTTCTAAACTGTATATAATTCTGCAGGTTCTTGTAAAATCATTTTTATATTCATGTCACCATCATCTGATTTTTGCTGTTAAGACCTTCCAGATAAAATATGATAGGATGATTTGTTACTGCTTCTGAGGATAGATAAAATAAGAAGATAATCACTTTTCTTAAATTTTTTACTAAACTATCCCACTTCTATATTGCTATTCCTTAGTCACTATCTTTACGTCTTTTTCTAGTCTCTCATTTCATATTGGCTCTCCCAAAAAGTCGTCTGATTGCAGACTCAATGAGGTAAAATCTATTCTCCACCTTTCCTTCCTCTTGTGTTTTCTATATACTCTCCACATGTTCTCTCTATGTTTTCTGTGTTGCATTTCATTCTTTTTCTCTTCCTCAGAGCTTCAGCTTTGCAAAATCCTGTATTGCTTTCATTATATTTCCAAATCAGTTATATTATTACTATACTGTTACTATACTGTACTGTTATACTACTGCTGTTGAATATCACCCAAAAAACAACTTGGAGCCTCAAGTGGTTGTGGCAACTCTTGCCTCTAACTAAAAAGCTTCCTATAATGCTTCAGTCCTAAAAACTGCATTGCCATCTGAGACTTGTATAAGCATTTTCCGTTATATATCAGGTTACACTGGCATGTGAGTATCTGTCAGATGCAGAATCCAGATTGGAATGGAAATGGTTAGTCAGTGAAAGTTATTCTACAGCACAGCTGAAAAACTGTGTGTGATGCTAGTAAGAAGACACAGCCACATTTCTATAGACAGCTATATATCTGCAGTCAGTCATTACTGGTGTCAAAATTTGAGGTGCAGGTCCAGTGCAAGTCTTTTTATTAATTAGAAATATTTGTATAGTTCATTTTCCTCTTTTTTCCTTCCTCAAATGTATAAAGAACAAAGTAACATAATTTTATAAACATATAAATTCTATTGTTAGTTAAAGCAGAGAAAATATAAGGGGGTAAATGTTCAAAGACAGTGTCAACAAGAACAATACTCTTCACAGTTTCATTTTAACATAAAGTAGAAAAGAAATAACCAGATTGCATTATTTTACAGGGGAAAAGTGTATTATCTGGAGGCTTAGATGCTTTGGAATTTATTGGAAAGACAACCATGAATGTCCTTGCAGAAAGTGATCCTGGATTTAAGAGAACCAAAACACTGATGGCAAGAACAGTTTCCTTATCTCAGGTTGGATTTATTTAAATACGGTTCTGTCAGTGCAGGTTTAGATTCTTTTTCTAGAATTTTATATGCCTCAGGGAGAGACCGAATTTATTGCCTAGGTATTTGGAAATAAATGTTATGTTTATATAGGATCCACTTCCTTTTTCTTCACAGAATTACAAAATACATGTTTTACAAAATTATCCTTTCTGCATAATCACATGCAGATGTGTACAATGGCTGATTTTTATAGGTAGAACAGGTGGTAATAAATTATTATACTCTGGAGAGACAGTCAAGTTAGTGTTTTCATAACAGCTGTAGATAGATATCCTCCAGCACTAACATTACTGTGCTTGTCTTGGAAATGAGTAATACAGGAATATGGCATATGTTTCATTAGAAATTTTTTATCTTATGCTCATTTAAAATAATGGTATCCTTACATAGGAATCAAGTCTTGACTCTCATCTTCAAAAGTTCTGTGATACAGTAATAATGGAGCAGAAGTATAGTTGCTGCCAGTACCAAATTACTTTAGCTCTCCAGACACAGAGGGAAGGGAGGCTTTGGAAAATGATAGTCTTTGAAAGAAGTTGTCAATGCTGTTGTGTGTTTACTTGGTGTTTTTTTTTTTTTTTTTTTTTAACCGATTTATTCCATCTTTAGTCCTGATCATTGAAGGTGGAAACAGATTGATACAGTAGGCCAAAGCAAAGTAATTATTGCTAACAATATTATTATAATTAAACACCTTATATACATCTATAGCAGCAGCACTCTCTTTTAGATAGTCAGCACTGGTAAAGTGGAAATACATGTAGATATAACACTCTACAATCTCAGCATTGCAGCTGAAGGCTGCCCTGAGACGTGGTTCAGACTGTACGTGCCTCACACTGGCCATCGTCCTAAGCTTGGGCTTGTGCAATGTGTTTTGAGGAAAGCATCCTGAGGCACTTCACACTACAGTAGCATTACATTTGCAGTAATGAAAGGCCCTGCCGCATGTAATAGAGGCTCAAAATTTTCATCTGTCTGAACATTTCTACCACAGGAAAAGCCATCCAAATGGTAGGATTCGAGTTTTCAAACAAAAGACTGGTTATGCAGGCATGTTTGATACTGTAAGTGCAATGCTGGCTCTGTGTAAATCAATGAGATTTTATTGTTAACTTCATTAAAAGAGCAATCTGACTGCATTCTTTTAAATTTCTGCATTTAAAAAGATGTAAGGATATAAAAATTAGAGACAGGTGGAATATTCAAATTATTTAAAATAAAGAATGATTAAAATAAGCAAGATATTCTCTATATGGGGCAAAACTTTCAGAAACAACATCATTTAACAGGATAAATGATCAAGTTCCAGTACCCTAGTTATACCCAGTGCTCTGTAACTTGCTACTGTAGCTGTGTACCTGTAGTGACTGAGTTGGGCTTTGGCTTTGAACGGGCCTGTAGAACAGTTTGAGCTGTTCCACTGACATATATGTAGCCTAGGGAAGTTAAGGCCACTGAGTTAAAGTGAGCCTTTACTAATATTTTCCTAAATGATGTGCTTGAATCTACATATAAAATATATGGCAAGAAGTGACATAAATCATTTCTCATGAGTCTTATAACACAGTGTCTACCTTTTAGCTGATAGATGCATAACATTTTGAATGGCCTTTTGAAAGTGGAGACTTAGAAAAATCAGGCATCATAAGTGCTTTGTACCAAATGAGTAGCAAGGTAATATCGTAGACATTCAGTAAGAGGGAAAGGTGCAAGCAGTGAGAGCTTGCCTATTATCAGAGGTTTTTGTGCACTTTAAAGTGCAATTTTGAGATGTACTAAGCAGTTTTCCAGCATCAAATTTGCCCAAGAGGCAAATTTCCCTCCTGGGAAGGAATGTGTGAGGTCACTCCAAAATGTCTCCAAGTTTATGGAGTATCGTTCTGACCCATCTTTGGTAGAAGACCTATCCCTACTAGACAGATCTCTCTTGTCAGTCCTGCTCTCATCTAAATCTGGTTTTACAGTCTGTTAAAAATATTTTAGATGTTATGTAAATAATATTCTTCCAGTTTTCTGGTCTGTGGAATGGCTCTTTAAGGCGATGTATGAAACTTTCCTCTTACATTTCTTCCATTGCAGTTGGTTGCTAATTTATGGGATGCTCTCCGTAGATGACATTGTTTTGGGAATATAAGCAAGAATAGTTTTTTTGTTTATTTATTTTCTTAAGATTTCGATTACCCCAGGAGAGAGACACTTAGAATGCCACTTAAATATTTTATTAGAAAAGTTTATCAGAAAAATATAGGTATTTCAGAGAGACTAAAATTTCAGCTCTGCAGGTACAATCTCAAATTTTATTGCTACTTTCTCAACAAGAAGCAGCAGAGAGTAATAAAGTCTGTCACATCTACAGCACTGCCAATAAAACAACAGGAATGATGTATATTTTTGCAGCTGTTGCGAGAAGCTAAAGAAAAAGAGAAACAGAGACTGGCCCAGCAAGTTACAGTTGAGAGAACAGCGCATTATGGACTGCTTTTTGATGAATTCCAAGGTTTGTCCCATCTTGAAGCGCTAGAAATCCTGTCAAATGAAAGTGAAACCCAGGTACAGTATAAATAGCATAAATTTGATGTTTGGTTTAAAAAAAATGTTCCTAACACTAATCATCATTAAGAGTTATTTTTGTTAAGAGCATATATATCCTGTATTTTTTGGCTTGTAACACAGTGCAGAAGTCTTCTCAAAATTTGCAGGAAGATTCAAGTTTTTTCCTTTTGTACAAGGCCCTAGTACTTATATTCAAGAATTCCAGGCCTAGTGCACCTGGAGGCAAGTGAATTAGAATGGATTCCAGATTGCTTACTCAATTTCTAACTCTTCCTTATTGGGGTGATTTTTAAACTTACACAAGACTAGCCTAAGATATAATTACTGAAAGCATGCTTATGCTGAACATCTCTCTGAAGAGCATGCTGAAGTTACTATGTACTATTATATGTGTATGTTTTCATCTCAGCTGTTAACTTCCTGGATGTGCTAAACAGTAGATCAGTAGAACCTTTGTAAAGTCCCAGACGGAGTATTTTATACTGAAACATTTTTTTATGGACACATTTCTTATTATATTTATTCTTATTTATATTTAATTTATAATTAAATTCTTCTTCCTTTTTTGGGGTAATTATCACTCCTTAACCTCTGTGTTATAAAAATAACGACTTTATTATTTTTAGTGTTTTAAGAATAATTGTAATCTTCTGTCACAAATAATAGAAACTTGATTTGACATCAAGTATGTACATACTGTCTGCGTAGTTTTTGAAGTTATGTCTAAGCAAAAAATTACAACTTCAGAATCCTCATGTAAGGTTCAAAGGTTTGCCTTCCAAGAAAAAAAAAAAAGGAAAAAAAAAAAGAAAATCCCACAAAACAGGCAAGAAATAAAGAGAAAAAAAAAAGTTCAGGTTAAGTGCATCTATCAACACTATTTTACTTTTACCGTGGGATACCACAGGGTAGGACTCTGCATAAGGTTTCTGATGTGCTGCTGCTTGCTACGTCCTAAGTAACCTCTAAGTAACTTGTTCACAGTGATACAGTATCAGCAGGCTAGAAAACCTAAGCACAAAGGGCTGAATGCAGGTATCTGCATCAGCTGGGCTGGTTCTCTGTGGTATGGATGATGTGTGCTTCTCAAAAGAACAGGTACTCCAAATACCACCTGCATTCACAAAATACATCTACTCCTTCAAGCTGGAGACCTGTGCAAACAGACCAAAAGCCACACTATGATGTGCCACAGGAGGAAAGCAAGGGAAACTGAAGAGGTTGCTAGTGCCCTAGGTACTTTTTATAGCATGGATTAATTAATTTAAAATATTAAATATACTATTTTTATTGTTTAAATTATTTCTATTTTAGAAATTTTTGTTTTAAATGTTTCAAATTAATCTTATGAAATGGATAATGCCATAGAGGAGGGAAAAACAAAACAACAATAAAAGTAGTTCTTTGAATTCTTGAATCTAATTTCCCATTCAATTCTGAGCATATGAACTGGACACATAAGAGAGGGAGTTCCAAGGAGGCACACGGAGAATATAATGTCACCAAAAATATTTTGTCTCTTTCCATTGTCTAACTGTGCCAGGCTGCATTGCGCTTCTTTACTTTAAAAAAAAAAAAAAAGACTCAGAACAAAACTTAAAGTAAAATTTTCTATGAAATAGAGGGACATTTCTCTTGGCATTTCTCTTGGCTTCCATGGATAGCCAGACATTGCAAACAGTGATTCAGAAAATCTGTTTCTATTTGTTTCTCTTCATCTTGGATATCACCCTGTTAAATAATAAGGGACTTGTACTAGATATCTGAGACACCAGGGATGTGTCAGAGATCTGTCAATGTATCCCTCAGAGCAAGGAGGCTGGTAGTTATCTGGAATCTTGGTGGGATTTTGAAGGGAGAAGAAACAGATTTATTCTCCCAACCCCTCCATGCCTGCCTACGCTAAGTATGAATTCTGCCTGCCTGTGCTGATCTTCTGCCTACTGTCCTCATTCAAGCAGTCCCAAAACATACATATTATTGTTTACAATTAGACCCAAGATTTGTAATCTGAAATGAGAGTTCTAGAAGAAGATAGAGACTGAAGAGGTTGCAGGACCTGTGTAATTTTGGTAAGACTCATAACACTTTGTTGATTGATTAAAAATGTCATAACAACATGAATTGGAAAGTTAGAAATGCAATTTGAATATCTACTGGAAGTTTACATCTATATCTGTATTTTGGTGCTGGCTCAAAATTGGCAGTTTAAGAAAGGCTCTATTTTTGTTGCAGTGCTCACTATGCTTTCTTTCACAGATTCAGTCCTATTTAGCTACACTGGATGGAGAGCAGTTGGAAACTGTGAAAAATGAGTTAATAGATATAAAAGAGATTTTTGTTCCAAAGGAGTCAGATGGTGAAGCGGTGAAGGAACAAAAAGGTAATTAGATGTATAAAGATTTAACCATTTGAGGACTTGTTAATTCTGCAAATAGTACTATCTGAACTACATTTTAATTTATATTATTCTAGTACTCTTCATAAAGAAGTAAGTAAAATGGATATTCTAGAATTTCTAGAAGTTGGTTAGTTTTTAACTCTGGATTTGTGCCGTAATTGAAGTATGGAATAAAAAAATGTAGTGTAAGGAAGTGTTGCATTGTTTTACTATATCATGAGTGAAAGAAAAAAGAAGAAAAGAGAAAAAAAAAAGCATTGTTTTTTCAAATGACTGAAGCTTTCTTGTAAAATCTCTTTACAGAATTGTGTAACCTGAAAGTTTTGGCAAGTATAGCAATGCTTTTCTGTTTTAGTAACCTAGCAAAGGCTGGGATCAGAAGGGTAAAACACCCTTAAAGCTGCATGACCCTTTTCCCTAGGCCTGTGAGATCTAACCAACCTCTCCTAGCTGTAGAAAGATTCCCCTTGATTTGTGAGGATTGACTCATGCCATTAAATGCTGTACTCAGAGACTTCGTAGCTGTTTCCTTCACACCATCTTGCTCTATTCTCGGGGATGAAGATGTTTACATATGATTTCTCTAACCTTCAGAAAAGTTAGAGAAATTTTCTTGTAAACATCCACATTTTCTAACTGGAAATGCTTTTCCACTCTGTGTGTGCTTCTGGTAGTGTTTACTCCGTATGCCTTGAGTCTGTCAGAGGTGGGTGGTTGTTTCTTCTTGGGGACAGCAAGTGTGCAGTGTAAGTTCTTACTGTAGTAGAGGTTTGGTTTTGTGCATTTTCCCTCCCCATTACTCATTATAAGCCCACATCCTACTGTGGTTTTTGTAAGAAACAGAAGTCAAGAAAGTGTACTGCATATTTAGAAATGAAAATGAGTCGTGAGATCTCTCCTTAATTTATGTGAGAAGTGGGTTTTTTTTTTGCTTTGAAGCCAGCCCCCAAGAAAAGCTCTATTTTCTGCATGAATGATGTGCAGTGAAGCAGAGCTACTGATCACTCTTATCTTGAAACACTAAGTGGCCTCTTAAGGCAATGAGCACCTTAAAGGAAAGGACAAAACCAGAGTGCTGCTGGCTTTCCCCTGCAAAAGCAGGTCACTCAGAAGCGCCCTGTATCCTGCTCTCAGCGCATATTAAAACCACACACGAGTCCTACCAACCTCTCCACTGAGTGGGGGTGACCTTAGGTTGCAACCCAAAGTGACTCATATCCTTTGGTGGGATCAGGCTCAACATCTATCTGCATTTGAACTACCAAAAGTTTCATATTCTTGCAGTTCTGTTGGGATAATTTTGGTTCCACTGAGGATAGAAAAAGACTAGAAAGGTTGATCACTTTTCAGAGTAGTTTTCTGTTAGGACTGAGCTGACAGTTTTTTGGTGAGCTTCTAACCTGGGACGTGTGGCCTTACTCCTGCCTTCTGCCACAGGACGTGCACTGCTGCAGAGAGACGGTGCTGCACTGCATCCGCCTCGGAGCAACGTCCTAGTGCATTTCCAGTGACACAAAATCTGTTAACTTCACTAAAATATATCAGAGTGGGTGACGTTTCTTATGAGCCCCGTAAGATCACTAGAGACAAAGAAAACAGGCCTTCCCCTGAATTCGTTAGTGCATAATGAGTTAAGTGTTTTCATTAAAGCAGCAAATGCATAAGGGCCTATAAAACTTAAAGAATTCTACTGATGGGTCCTTAAGAAGCAAATGTCTGTCATTTTTAGATAAATACAATATTCAGCACTTTTGCATGTAATACTAACATGCAAATTCCATGTCTGTGTGTCCTGATAGAGCAGTTTTCTGTAACTCATCTTTCATTCCCTCTTTGGTTTGCTAATGTTTGCATAATTTAAAATGAGTTCCCATGACTCTGTATTGACTACCCTTAGTGTTTTGCTCTTATTTTACAAACAAGTTTGTCTTTCTGGGGTGCATTGATGTGTATCCTCCTGGGAGTACACTTGGTGGTCTTTAAGGTCTTAGGTTTGTTGTTGTTTCTTTTTTTAACTAGAATTCTTCACCTGATTTGACTTCATGGGGCCTTGGGCATATTTCTGTGGCGTAAGCTGTATTTACACTAATAAAATGGTCTGTGTGTAATGTTAGTTTAAAGTTTTAAACATTATTTGTCATCTATAGCTAAGACAAAAGACAGGCTAATTTAAGAATTGGTCAATCTGGGTTAAATGCAGTTCATGTCTTGTTCAGAAGGAGCAACTTCCTTCTAATTTATGTTTTAGCTCAAGCTAGTTAATACAAGTTAAGGTCCTGTTAAGAACATTAATAGAATATAAACTTATAAAAACAAGTCAATAAGCCATGTCCTCCTTTTGAAGGCATATTATTTCTATTATTTTATATAATATTTACAATATATTTTTATGTTTTTGAGTCCTGATGGACTTAAAAGATGGCTGTCATTTTAGGAAGAGATAGCAGGTTCTGTTAAAATTTGTGGGAGGTTGGGCTAGATGATCTCTAGAGGTTTCTTCCAACCTTAACCATTCTGTGATTCTGTGGAGGTATCTGTGTTTTAACTCTGCTTGCTAAATAGTTTAAAACTACAACTACCATATCTTCAGTAGGATTACAACTTTTGCTTCCTATCGTTTTTCCCTTTTTATGATGAAGGCATGTCCCTACAGAAGGCAGTGATGAACTAAAAGTGTTTAAGATGTTAAATCTTACCAGCCACTGAGCAATATTTTAAAACAAGTTGATTACCGCTTACTGGCTACTTTTTATGATTAGGTCCTGTTATTTTTATGGTGTCATTTGTCTTGTGTCATATGTCATATTTATATGATGTCATTTGGTGTACAGATACTTAAAACTAAGAGTTTAGTTAAGAGGAAAATCAGTGCTTTGCATTTAAGTGTTTGAAGAGGGTGGTGGTTTGCTTTATGTAAACTCTCCAGATCCATTCTTACCCTGTACTCTCAAGATCTTATTCAGGGATGTTAATGATGTTTTTAGTCTCTACAGTAAACATTTTGAGCTGCGTATAAGGAGGAGTGAGTGCAGTGATCTTTAGAGCACTCTTTTAGAGAAGGCTAGACTTTGTTCTTGGCACCTTTGGAACTAGAGCCATAAGTTTCACCTTTGTCTTTACTTGGATCCAAAAGATAGGTGCAAAACAAATATCCCAAGAAAGAAAGGGAAAGGAGATTTTCTGACACAAGTGGGAAAAAGCAAAAAGGGTAGGCCCTTCTCTCTAACATTTCCTCTTTCATTATGTATGTATTTTTCACAGCAGATTCTTTTCCTGTCAGTTGTTTATGAACTAAAGAAAGGATACATGGAGATGTAGCTCAACTTATATTGTAAAAGGAATTTAGAAAAAAAAATCATGTGGAATCATGTGAGTTAAGGGAGAAGGTAAAAAAGACTGGGTATTGAATTGGATATGCCAGTTAACCAATTTTGGTAATACTGCATTCAGTCAGTGAGTTACTTATCAATTTTCAGCATTTTGAACTTTATGGAAACATTTGGCAAGGTCTTAAGAATGAGTGAACCTTGAAAAACCTACTGCAAAGATGAGAGCAGCAATGAAATGAACTCAGTGCATCTCCTTGGCTGACCAGTTCTTCTTGACCTACCAGGGGTCTGTCCTGCTAAAAGAAAAGCTCAGTCTCCTGGTCAGTGCAGTGGAACAAAGTAGTAGTAGTAGGAACAAAGCAAAACATCAAAATCATTTTTGAAATAGGTGGGCTTTTATCAAGTTCTGTTGGAACCTGATTAAAAAAAAAAAAAAAAGGATTTTGCAGATTTTACCAGGATATGTGTGAATGAAGATTCAAAGCTTAGTAAATGCAGATGAACATAACCAATGAAAATACCAACTTTAAGAGCTTAGAACAGGTTAAAATGGTGGCACATAGCAACTGCAGTAAGACAAAAGAATATGTGTAGTAAGAAGTTCAAGTACTAAGAAAATATACTTTTCCTCATTAAATATTGTGTCAATAAAAGTGGAGATTCTATAAGGCTTCTTACTTTAAAGCAGAACAGAAAACCTATTTACTTAAAGAAACAGAAACAGAAATTCTTTACTTAAGCAAAGCTCGTCCTTAAAATAGAAAGGAAACACACCTCTTAACTGCGGTTTGCAGAGAGAACACGTAGCAAACATGTTTTCCAGGATGTTTTCTTTGAAACTCTATTTGTATCTTATGCTGCTACAATTTTTTATTCCTTATCTTGAAAGAAGAGGTTGGCATCTCTTCCTTAGTTATTTTGTAGCTCCATGTGTTCTTGTCAGGTAACTAGAGTGCATCCCATCTATACTTGTTTGCCTGAGTGAAGCTCAGTGGCAATAAGTAGGCACTGAGAGAGTAGTCGAAGTGTCAAGCTTGGATGTCTTGTGTAGTTACTCCAGTTGCCTTTTCTTTTCTTTGAGCATATTTCCTGCTCTTTCTTGGTCATTGTCATTAGTTTGCAATCAAAATTATTTTCAAGTGCAAGGGATATAATTATACTGGATGTATTTGATTTGTGTAAAATAGTATCGTGATAACACCCTAACAAAAGATTTGTTGTGTTTCTTGTTGCAGGGGATGCGGAAGAAGAGTTTGTCAGCATGCTCACGGAGCTGCTGTTCGAGTTGCACGTCGCTGCCACTCCTGACAAACTTAACAAGGTTAGTGCCTGTTAGTGACCTGCCCACTGTTTGCTGGGCGAAGACAAAGCAGGGGCACCTTGTCCTGACAGCTGACACAGAGCAGTATCCAGCTCCTGCAAGGGGCAGGAGGGGGGATTAATGTGACAAAAAACAGAACATTTTATATAGAAGTGGTGAGATTAGATAGTTGATATAGGCGCACTCTCTAGCTAGTGCAATGGGCCATGTTAGAAACAGCAAAAACGGAGAATATGAGCATGGCGGATTTGTTCTAACGTACTAGGAACAGTAACAAAGTTCAGATTCAGAATTATTTTTTTGCTCATCATGTTTATTCTTCTGTGGGACTTCTCCAGACCTCTGCTAGAATTAACACCCTGTATTTATCTTATCTAGTTTTAATCATCTATAATGTAGATGGCTAAAAGCTAATCACATGGTCTTTTTGTAGTCAGGCCTCATTCTGAGGTGGTTTGTCTGATGATCTTAGGTTGAGATAATGTTTAGCGCTCTCTAAATACATAGATAGACTAAAGATAGCTGGCTTAGGTTCTAACATGTTTTGATTCAACTGCACACCAAAAAAATCTCCAAATAAATTTCCTGCTAACTATAAGAGTAGTCTCTGTAGCCATATACAACTTCAAGAATTTTTCATTTTGATTCACTTTCATGCACGTAAAAACAGATGAAGTTACAGTGACTGTCTTTTCCTTTAAGACTTTAGGACACTTATCTTACCTCTCCACTTTTTTTTTCTTTCTTTGTATCACTGTTTTATTTTTTAATTTGGGAAATCTTTCCATGTAGATTCCTTTTTATAAACACTACATAAATCTGAAGTATCAGTGACTTAATGCTGACTCTGTGAGCCAGCTATGAACATCATTCTTGTTGTAAAGATACTGAATACTAAATTATGTGTGGCGGATCTATATTTATACAGACAGATATACTTCATACAATTTCTTAAATACACACTTGACTGAGTGCCTTCCAGAGGACTGACATGAATAAAACTTCTGAATGAAAAATTAAAGTAAATATATTGTTAAGAGATGGTTCAGGAGTATAATTTGATATTCCCTATTTGAACAATAATTTGGGGTTGGGTCCTTTGCTTGGCAGGCAAGGAAAAAAGCTCATGAATGGCTGGAAGAAACCAATTTTTCCACCACAGTAGACATGGAAGAGAAGCTAAAAGAGAAACCTGAAGAACCTGCTGAAGAAAACACTGAAAAAGTGGAAGACAAAATTGGCAGCAATAAATCAGAAGTAGATAAAAAAAAAACTGTGGAGGTAATATAGCTTTTGAAGGATAAGTTTCACTCAGCAAATTGTTAGATAAGGTTACTTCTTTGTGTGTTGATTTTGTGTGCTTTTCTTGCCATTTTTAAACTCCTGGAGCTGTTAAGAAATACATTGAAATAGAACGCTAACTTACACTTTTTTTTTTTTTTAACTGTTAATCTGTTCCCATGCATATATATCTATATAGTAGGACCTACTTACCCTATGCTATAGCACTATTGAATGTGGTTGGGATCTTTGTCATTTTTTCTAATGAATTCTTGTCTGCCCTTCCTCTTTGCAGAAAATTACAAATAAGTAAACTGAGTTTCACACTATAGATTACAGGTTTTTATGATTATAATTTTTTCCCTGACACCAGCTTGTGAAAATTATGATGCCAGAGTTCTAGGTAGAATTCTTTAGTGTTACTGTTA